TTCTATTTTCCATCCCCGATGTCATAACATTTTTTTTCAATCCTTAGTTTTTATTTTTCTTTTCACGCAAATATATATATATATTATTCTTTTTATATTTTAAAATTAGCATATACTTCATCTTATATTACTCTTATCATTTAAATTTCTCATTTTTTATGAAAATTCTCATCCAATTAATATTTTTATATAAGATTTTGTTTATCGATAAATATAATTTATTTTTCTCTATGTTTGAATTTTAGAATAAAATTTTAAAACATGATTTAAAAAAATAAATTGGTTAATATATATATCATGAATTCTAGAATTTTTAAATGATGGTTGTGCATATATAAATATATAATTATGTTATTTTAAAAGATTAAAAGTGTATTTTAAATCATTTATCTCAGTTCACTAGGTATGATCAAAATATATAAAAAAACTATTGAATCTCCGATTTTATTAAAAATTAACTATACATCTTCCAACTATAAATTATTTACTATGAATATTTTTTTTAACATTATAGAACCAATTTATTTGAACTAAAATAATTAAAATAATTTTTTTATAAGAACCAACCAATTATTCAAATATACTTTTTTATGCGAATTTTGTTGATTATTTTGTAAATAAATATATATAGATTTAATGCATATACTTGAAAAAAATAATCTTCTCACCAACATTAAATAAGAATAAAGTTTTATTTTTTCATTGGTTAATATTTATGCAAGTTTATATACTAATTGTAACTTTATTTTATATATATATATAATTTTAAAGTATTTTCTTTTGAATTCTTAATTAATATCAATTTTAAATTCTTATAAGTTTTTATTTAAGAATCCCTATATAAAGAAGAATAAATCATATTTTTTTAAGAAGAAATTTTATGAAAAACAAAAAAAAATGATAATAATCAAATAAAAAAATAATAATAATTTTAAATGATTTTGTTCTATATGCTCATAGTATTGCGCAGATAATTTCAAAAATTAATATTTTCATTAGCATTAATTTTTTTTTCATTTATTAATTTTTATAAAAGTCTCGTCTATCAATTATATCTTTATTTTTTGGAATGCAATATTATAAAAATTATATTTTTAAAGTTTTTTAATTCTTAATTAATATTTTAATTAAAATTATTTTTTAAAAAAAATCAACCAATAAAGAAGAATGATTTATGCTTTTTTATTTTAAGCAGAAAATTTATAAAAAAAATAATAAATAATTAAATAAATAAAAATTTTAAAATGTTTTTTTTTTTGATCCACAACGTAACACGGATAAATGAATAGTTGTATACTAAATTAATTAATTATTGGGACTTGAAATTATAAGAACAATTTAATTTTTTTTTTTTTTAAAAAAAAAAGGTGAGGCAGCGCATCCAATCTGGACCTAGGCACGCACGCCGGTTGAAGCCCACGCGTCACCTTCGGTTGTTCATTCAACTTCTTTCCCAATTTTTTTATGATCAAAATCAGAAATTGTCATCTGTAATTTGTAGGGCTGCTGTTTTTGGCTCTCTAAACCATATTTCTACGTCACTTCCATCTTATCATCATATGAAAACTCATTTTAAATCTCAAAAAAACCCCTAATCTACTCTAAAAATCCAAAAACCGAACCCCTTCTCTCTCCTGACTTCTCTATTCTCTCTCTATATTCAAAGACTTAGATCTAAAACAAATAAAGTTGAGGGACTATTTGTACAAACCTATAATGTTAAGAGCTAAAGTGAAATCATTTCCATAAAAATTACTTAAAATTTTTGTCAAAAGGAAGTTGTTTTGTCAAAAATATTACCATTTTTGTGCCGAAAAGCCTAAAATACAAAACCGTTTTTGGACATCTAGAAAAGTATCTACTACCTTCGTTGCCTAGTGAGCTAACCCCATTTTTGGACAGGGGAGTTATCAAGGATGCTCCTGGACTTGAAATGATCTTCCTGAACCAATAGTTAGCACTGACCAGGTCGGATTAAAGTCCGACTCTCGAAGCTTGAAGTTGGGGTCAAACATGGCAGTGTCAAGTGATGCAGTTCCAGCCACAATTGAGTTGACTCCTAAAGATATAAAGATCTTAAAGGAAAGAGTATCGTCCCAGTTGAAAAAGTTCCATAGAGAAAGCTAAAACCAACAAAAATACTTACACATGCTTATACAGTAGTTTGCATGGTGAAAACCAGAGGAGGGGATAGGAATAGAAAGTCGGTTGCTATTTGCTGCAGATTGTAGGAGCATAATAGACCCATTCGATTCCACAAAATTATATTGGCAACTATATTAGTAACCAACACATTGTTATTAAGGCTGGAGTCTCTAATGGAGGAGTCTGGGGTTGCAAAGATAGCAGAGAGGATTAGGGCATGATAAAAGGGCTATAGAAGGGACGTTTTGAAGGAGCTAAGGAAAGACTTGGCTTCTATAGAACCAGGAACAGAAGTCATTTGGGTTGCTGAATCCACCCTATTTGGGGAATATTTGGACGGAGAAGACCCAGCAAGGTGGATTTTGCAGGAAATACTTGGTCAGGAGCTGTCTTTGGTAGGGAGTAGAGAGGGAACTGGAGGTGTTGAAATTGGTTTGGCTTTGAAGAGGCATCAAATGGAGACTTTTGCTTCAGTCTTTGTTAATAACCTAAAGAATTTTGGACAAATCTCAAAATAGTTCTCCAAATTATAATTCATTTCTCAATAAAGCGTGAAAGAATTTTTTTTTCCCCTCAACTGGGCCTCTACAGATTCAGCAAGTCCAACATTGATATCAATCAATGGTTAAACAAAACAAAAAAGACATCGTTTAAAAGAGAGTTTGAAGCTTTCTGTCAAAATTGTGATGACTTTTAAGCAGGACTCCAGTGATAATCCTAAACCTTCGAAATTTTAAGTGACAAATAATTTTTGAGGACTCGATTAAGATTACTATATAGTTGAGAAATCACAACTAAATTTAAGTTTTCTCTTGGATACTGAAAGGTATAGTACTTACAATTTTGAGCTCTGTCATACACACATTTGCTTTAATTACAATAAAATAATATATTGCACAAGTTTGATTATGTGTTTTCTTTTTATTATATTTTGAGGGAGTAGGGTTAGGACATGACTTCTCAAAGAATACCCAGTTCTGAGCTTAGAAGACTCCACTGGCCATATCTGCCCATGTTCCAGCATCTATGGCAAGAAAGGTTATCATGCAATAGAAGGTGCTGCTCTATAACTCTTCATAATGCTTTCTTGGAACCTCCGCGCAACTCATGCAGAAAATTTTGAAACTAAATCTGTTTCTGGCATTTGAGATTTATACGAACCCAAGTTTGTAAGTAACCTTAATTGGTCCTTGTTTACAAGCTATGGAGAAAGTTTACATCCTAACCCTCAAGTGAGGTACCAACCCTTGGTAAGTACTAATCTAGAAGTTAAGCTAAAATTCCAGATACACCGAGCAGTGATTATGCCACTATCAGCCTAAGCATTCCAACCAGTATTGCCATCTCTCCGAAATGCCCATCTCTTATAGTTCCCAATAAAAGAATAGCGCCTTGCATATAGACCAATAATTTCCAGATCAGCAATTTTACTTAAGATTTCATCCGACAAACACACAGAGCAATGCCAAGTGACCTCCAAAGTCCAGAAACCTATGTCTATTGCATAATTCTTACAGTTGAAGCAGTTAGCTTCAAACAAACAAGCAGAAAATTATTTGAGCAATAAAAAGTTGCACAAAAAGATAGGACACAAGATGTTTACATGAGTCATATAAAGAGAGAGAAATCAAGATGTAACAGAACTAAATGAGAAAACTGCACACGATGGCATGATAGATGAATACTGCTGGCTGTATCGACGATGTATTGACGAATCTAATTCCTAAGGCTGACCTTTGCTATGCTTGAGCTAGATAAGCATGCTCATCCTAGAAGCAAAAGGCTCAAATCAAATGTCATAAAGAAATGGGTATCAGAGTTCAAAACAACATCCAAAAGAAGGAACCTTGAATGAGATTTCCTTCAAACTGGATCACTGAAGGTTCACTCGCCAAAGTTTTAGAGATTGTACAAGTTGATAATTTTTTAAAAAAAGGTCCTGCATTCTATTATTCAACCGGTGAATAACACAGTATCTTAATTTTCAATTTCAAAGTCCTCCCAGATACAAAAACAGTGTAGTCAAAGAACCAATGTTGTAAAAGAAACTCAGCATTTCTGCATAGCATTGTACAATTTGTGAGCCTGTCCTAAATTAAACAAAAGAAAGTACGATAAATATGGAATCTGTCAAAAAACATTTAACCCATTTAAACAGACTTTAGACTCCAAACTGAAGGGAAATAAAATCATGTAGTAAGATGTACAGTCAAAAGGTTCTTGCACGAATCATATAAACATAACAAGCTTGGGAGGGCATTAACAAATTTTAGCTTGGTCGAGAAAAGATGTAATTTTCACTTCCATGTCCTCCCTTGAGAAGCACTGTTTAACATATTTAGCTTCCTTTCCTTCAGATGGAGTATATATGCATGCAAATTAAATCTCTATCTACAAACACCTCCCTTCCTGCAACTAAATTGGGGATGGTGCACCAGAAAACTTGATTGTCCTGTTATCAACAAAGTTTATTATCAAATCAAGCCACATCCATTGTTTCAAATGTTAATGTGGCATGATTAACTACTCTACCTATTTCAGTTAGCTTGGATATAAGCATAGACATATTTAGACAAAGAAGTGAGATAAAATGCATTCCAGATAATATAGAAGTGATGCAATGTGTCAAAATACTCCATCTCATTGCACAATATGTGAATCGCTGGAATTCATCAAAAATATTTCATTCAAAAGAATCATTTCTGTGTACAAAACCAGATTGGTTGAATAAAGCACTTTGAAAGTTACAACTAATGATTGGCTCCAAAATTTTGAAAAATAGAAGTAATCCAGTATGAACACTAACAGCTCGTTGCTGTCTACCTGGCCAATAATGGAGCAGGAGTGGTATTCATCTAAAGGCCAAAATTGCACGTCTGAACAAATTCCATATCATTGTCTACATATTTAGTCCAGAGATTCTTGTATTGGTTCATAGCAATGTCAAGCCAAGGTTTCATGTTTCCATTATAATGAATGACAGCAGCATTGCTTATCTCATCCATGCTAATGCTTGGATTATATCCGAGGCCAAGCACATGCCAGGATTTGTCCAGTGACTTCGTTGTAGAGTAAAAGGTGATCAAGCCAGGAGGAAGAGTACCCAATTTCCATAGAGTACGATCCTCATTCTGTGATCAGAATATACAAAATTACTTCTGTTTGGCAGTTGAAAGGAGAAGTATTGTAAAAAAATAAGTTAGAAAGGAAGAAAAGATGCACTAACCAGGTTCTGCCAATAATGATAATGTTCTGTGCATTTCTCCTGCCTCCAAGCATCAAGATCAAATATATTCATCCCAAAAGCCCAAGCACAAGCCTTGGGATTGAACCTCTCCTTAATTAAAGGATGTGAAAAGTTCAAATACTGTGCATAACGATGAAATGACCCAAAGCAAGTCTCAACAGCTCCATTCACCTTACCATCCAAATCAACCTTCCACAACCCAGTCAAATCCTTCTGAACCACAACATCATCATCCAAAAACAAAATTTTATGCAACTTGGGATACATCTCTGGCAAATAAAACCGAAGATGATTCAACATACACAAGTACTTAGGGTTCCGAAACTTCATATTTATTGCATCTTTGGTAGCATTCTCTGCCCGGTTCTCAAAATAAAACTTCTGCATATTAGCATTCTCAAGCTGCCTCAAAACTGGCACATACGATGAAGTCAAAAAACTATACTCCTCCATTGCCTTAATCTCCACGTAAGCGCCACCTTCGACGGGCCTCATCCTAAACCAAACCTTCATAGCCGCAATATTCATCCTATCCGTAACCACATGAAAAACATGTTTCCATGGTTCCTCTGCATTCTTCACCACAGACCTAATCACAACTGAAACTGCAAGCACATTATCCGAAAAAATCGCATAATGATACAAACTTGGATCCTCAAACTCTGCTTTATACCCTTCCTCCTTATACTTCTCTGGATGTGCAACCCTCTCCTCCACAAGCCTCATCGCCAAACAATGCAAACTCTTCGGTACTGACTTTGCAGATATTAAGCTCGCAAAAGCTCCATTCTTCTTCGCCTTAATTAACAACTCATTAACTGCAAAAATGGTATCTTTCAACTTCTGAATCTTCATCTGATTATCATAACTCTCCTTGGATTCCGCTATCATTAACCTCGCAACTTTCACTTTATCCTTAACTTCCTTCTCAAATTGCCTTAAAACATCCTCATCCACGGGACTACCCGGCTCGAAAAGCAAGGATTTATAACTCGGTTTCATTGGTAAATCCGTTAAATTCTTAGCTAATTCATCAAACATTCTTAACTGTTTAGAGATATCAAGCTTGAGCTTTCTCGCATACGCGGCGTATGCATTAACTAATGTCATGTGATCATTTGCTTGTTTATATATCAAATCTAATCGTGTTTTTAACGGATCTGATTTAATCGCCAAAAATGTGCGTTGTACGTAAGCATTTCCGCTACTAGGCAGTAACTGTTCCATCAATTCAGCATTCAATAACACAAAATAAATAAATGAAGTCAACGAATTGAATTATGATAAACAAACGCCATGCAGTTAGAGTGAGGTTTTCAAACTTACAGGTTGCTGGCGAGGGTGAGAGGAGAAGAGAATAGAGAAAGTAGCGAGGAAGAGAAGAGTGAACATAGCGGAGATGAAGATCCGGTAAGAGAAAAAGGTGCGGAGGCCACCGTTGATGCCGCCGCTGCCTCCCCCTCGGGTTCCTCGGACGGCCACCGCCATTGTTGGATTTTAATCAGGATCTGAATTTTTTTCTTCCAGTATAATTTAATTTAATTTAATTTAATTTAATTTTGTGTATGGTTTTCTAGTTGAGCTTGAAGCTGGAGCTGAAGCTGAGGCTGAAAGAGAAAATGTCGTTGTTTTTTGTTAGAGATCTAAAACCGAGAGCTTTCATCTATTATCTAGTTTTTAGTTAACGCGTCGGTGTTAATATTTTATTGTTTGTTTTGAAGATTTTGGATTTTTGGTCATAAATCGGAATGGATGTATTTTAGGGTCAACTTCTTTTTTTACCCCTATAGATTATTCAATTTTCTAAATATATCCTTATAATTTAAAACCTTTCAATGTCTCTCCAAAATCATTAAATAGTCTGCATTTTAAATTTAGTTTTTTGAGTTCCTTTTATATATTTGTAGGTGTTATTGTGATATATTGTAATAGTTATGAAGATTTGAGAAAATAAAAAAAGAAAAGAATAAGAATAAATTTTAAAAATATGAAAAAAGTGTTATGAAATAATGAATATTCATCATCATGTTCATTCACTTTTCATATCACCACTATTTATGATTCTTAATATGATTCAATTCATCATTCAATATGAGAAATTGAAAGGGTGATGCAATTGATTATTCATAATCTCTTTCAATTCTCTCCTCAATTTTGAAGCCTATAAATAGGCTTGATTGTTCATTAGTTGGTATATAAGTTTTTTAGAGAGAATAAGAGAAACTTTAAAGTTCTTATCACTTGTATCCACATTATAGTGATTTCATTTTTTTGTCATCTTTTCCTTCAATTCTCCTATTATTTCTATTTATTTTATAATACGTTATCAGCACAAAGCTCTAACCAATCGAGACAATAGACCATGAGGTATGTATCTACCAAAAGATTTAATCAATTGTTTTAATAATTGGATTTCTTCTACACAAGTGCTCTACCAAAAGATCTAAATTATTTATATCGTTAAAATGTATGTATCTAATTTATTCATGTACTTTAAATCTATTGACACATGAAATATATATTTGAAAAACTTAAATGATCTACTAATGATCTAATATATGTTATTTGAAAAGCTTTGATTTTATTATTATATTTGTTCTTATTTTTTAATATTATTATTATATATTGTATTATAGAATTTTTATCATATCAAACCTCATAAACTTGATTTGGTGACTCTTGATACTTTGAATAAGAATTATTAATTATGAGTGCTTGATTTTGAAAAAATATTCTCTACTTTTTATATCTTGGATATGCTCTTGCAGTAGCATATCGAGAAAAAGAGTTTAAGAAATATTTTGGATCGATTTTATACTTGTTAGTGGCTAAATAAAATAAAAAAGAATAAATCTCATCCAATTTGATCTACTCCATTCCCCGAAATGAACGTGACAATTTATAATAATTTTAGACATGGAGAAAGATGTGGTCATAACCATGGATATGGTTGAAATAATTATCATTATAATCGTAATGACCATAATATTACATATCACTATCGAAGTGGATAACTATGAAAAAAGAAATAAAAATAGATAAATTCAGTATTTTGAAAAATAAATATTATAGATGTGGAATGGATAAATATTGATCGTATACTCGTCGTACACCAAAACACCTCGTTAAGCCTTGTCAAGCCTTATTGAAAAATAAAGAGTAAAATATGAATACCACTTTTATATATCAAAATAATAGTAATTGAAATTAATTACTTGTTAGTTTTTCTATTTATAAATAAAATATTTTATATTTTTTATAATTTATATCGTACAAGTATAGTAATGGTTATAAATTTATTTTACTATTTATTTATTTGTTTGTGTTTATGAGGAATATATATGTTTATTTATTTCGTATTGATTTATTTGATTACTTATTTTATGTTAATATTATATATGATAATATCAATCTAATAGAAAGCTTCGAAGAGCAACTATATTATTATCTAAAGAGATAAAATTTGAAGGCTCTAGAAGAGCGATTATATTATGACTCGAAGAGATAAATTTTTGAAGCTCTAGAAGAGTGGATATATTATTACTTGAAGAGATAAATTTTAAAGACTCTAGAAGAATCGATATATTATTACTTGAAGTGACATAATTTAAAGGCTCCGGAAGAGCAAATATGTTATTATCCGAAAGGATAAATTTATTATGAATGATGCACTATTCTCTTCAAAGTCTCATAGAAATTTTTTAAGTTTCAAAGATATTCATTTAAATTGATATCATATCAAGATAGCAAATGTGAATACTTATATGTTATAATCATTATATTGGATAGAAAATATCTATCAAAAAAAAATTTATCCATTTTCTCTTCGGTCTTTGTTACAAACATTGAAATGATTGAAACAAATATTGTAGTAAATCGAAATTTATTAATTCAAATACTTTTACTATGTGACATGACCAATTGTGTTATCTTAGGTCTTCATGATTTGAAAAAATTATTAAAAAAAAATTATATGAATATCTATTGAAGAGCCGGAAGATTCTTCAATTTAATGAACTTTCATGTTCCGCATGTTGCCAAGGCAAATTAATGATTAAGCCATTATCAAGTAAAATTTAGATTGAATCTTTAGTATTTTAGAATGTATTCAAGGTGATATATATGTATCAATTCATCCACTATGTTGACCATTTAAATATTTTATGATTTTGATAAATGCATCCACAAGATGGTCACATATATATTTATTAGCTACTCGAAACCTAACGTTTTCGAGATTGCTAGTAAATAATTTGATTTCGAGCATAATTTTCAAATTATACCATTAAAACAAGTCACCTTGATAATGTTGATATAATGCTAATGAATTTATTTCTCAAGCATTAAATTATTATTGATTGGCTATTAAAATAAAGGTTGAGCATCTTGTTGCTCATATTCATACTCAAAAAGGTTTAGCAAAATCATTTATCAAAAGGCTCCAATTGATAGCTAAACCATTATTTAAAAATAAAACTCCTTGTTTTTGTTTGGGGATATACAATCTTACATGCAGCAACACTTATTCGCATATGACCCATAAGTTATTAGAATTTCTCTCCTCTTCAGCTTGATTTATGGTCATGAGTCAAATATTTCTTATTTAAGAATTTTTTTGCATTACGAGTGTATATCCTTAGTGCTCCACTATAATGAAATAAAATGAGCACTTAAAAGAGATTAGGAATATATGAATCCTCTTCGATAATTCAATCTCTTGATTAATGAACAAGAGGAAATTTTTACAACTCGATTTATCGATCGTCATTTTGATGAAATAGTTTTTTCAACATTAGGGGAGAGAATAAGCAAAATAAGCGATTAAAAATATTAAAAAAAATAATTACATTGAGTACTCTATCTTATATCATCTTGATTCTTATCGAAGATAATGTGAACTAGAAGTTCAAAAGATAATTCATTTATCGAGTATTGAAACCAACTTCCGGATGCATTCTAAGAGATCTTAAATGAGTAACTAAAATGCATGTCCCCGTTAAGAATGCTCTTATTAGAATTAATGTCCCTGAAGGATAATCTATTAATATTATAGCTAACGAATTTAAAGCACGCCCGAAGCGTGGAAGATCGATCGGTTCTAAAGATAAAAATTCCTAAAAGAAAAGGGCAAGATGAAAATATTCATAAAATGGTCCAATATATTTCGATAATAGGCTTCCGGAAGAAGTCCAAATAATTAAGAAAAATCAAGAGATTTTGATAAATTATATCAATGCGAGGAAGAAAATAGGACCGAAAAGAAACATATATTGATAAGATTTTTGCATATAATATTGCAATTGATATTATGGATGAAAATAAGGATCCCGAGCCTAAATTATTGAAAATGTCGACATAAAGATGATTGGCTTAAATGAAAAGAGCAATCCAGACAGAATTATGTTCTCCTACAAAAGAGTAGTTTTTTGAACCAATAGCTTAAACACCCGAAGATGTTAAGCTAGTGGGATACAAATGTGTATTTATGCAAACACGAAATAAGAAAGATGAGATTGTAAGATACAAAGCAAAACTTTTAATAAAAGAGTTTTTACAAAGAACTAACATTGATTATGAGGAGACATATTCTCCTATAATGGATGCAATTATATTTTATTATCTCATTAGCTCGACAAAATATATGAAAAATATTCTTATGTATGCATTTAATGAATGTGATCATATTTTATTTGTTCATTTGAAATGATATCCGTATGAAAGTCCTAGAATGACTTAACATGCCGAAGCATTTAATACATATTCTCGAGAAAAGAATTCAATTAAATTATAGAGATCTCTATTAGGATTATTTTAGTATTTGTTTTATTATTTTGGTTTTTAGAAATTCAATTTATATTTTTTATATTTTATTTTTTATATCTACTCGTTTATTACTAACCCGAGTGCATGTGATCACTTTAATGATTATTTATTAAAAAAAAGTTACAAAAAATAACCCTATTTGTTCATATGTTTTTATTTGAAAAGGCGTTTGTTGTATATGTTGATAACTTAAATATTATTGGAACTCACGAAGAGATTCCAAGTGTCATAAGTTACTTAAAAAGAGAATTTGGTTTGAATATCTTAGAAAAATAAAATGTTATCTCAACCTACAGTTCGAGCACTCGGAGAATGAGATTTTCATTCATCAGTCAATTTATATATAGAAAAAAGTTCTACAATGATTTTATATAAAGATCATTCATTGACTAGCCCAATTGTAGTTCATTCACTTAATATCTAAAAAGACCCTTTTCGATCTCGAGAAGATAACGAAGAACTACTTGATCATGAAGTACCATATTTTATTACCACTCGGTGTATTGATATATCTTGCTAATAATACCCGACTCGATATAGTCTTTTTTATAAATTTGTTAACAAGTCATAGTTACGTTTCAATATAGAGACATTGAAATAAAGTTAAATATGTATTACGTTATTTTCGAGGAATGATTAATATGGGCTTATATTACTCCAACGAA